AAAATATTTTTATTGATTTCAGAGAGGAAGGAAGAGGGAGATAGAAACATCAATGATGAGAGAGAATCATTGATCAGCTGCCTCCTGCAAGCCCCCCACTGGGGATCCAGCCCACAACCCTGGCATGTGCCCTTGACAGGAATCGAACCTGGGACCTTTCAGTTCGCAGGCCCATACTCTATCCACTGAGCCAAACCGGCCAGGGCTCAATTTTCTTTTTCTAGCTTGATTTTTTTTTTCTTTATTGATTAAGGTATTATATGTGTCCTTATCCCCCCATTGCCAATTTTCTTTTTTTTTTCTTTAAATATATTTTATTGATTTCTTACAGAGAGGAATAGAGAGTTAGAAACATCGATGAGAGAGAAACATCAATCAGTTGCCTCCTGCACACTCCTTACTGGGTATGTGCCTGCAACCAAGGTACATGCCCTTGACCAGAATAGAACCTGGGACCCTTGAGTCCGCAGGCCGATGCTCTGTCCATTGAGCCAAACCGGTTAGGTCCTAACCGTTAGGGCAATTTTAAGTAGCATAGAAGGAACAATCAAATGAGCCCCTACCAGTGTTTCCCAGAGCCTGGTGAGCAGTTTCTTGTGCATTAATGCTGACTTTTAAATTAAGATCAGTTTACTTGCAAATGAGCAGGAGAAGTCGGTGCAGGTGCCGGAGTTGGGGTGGGAAGAAGGGTAGGGAGGCCCTGAGTTCAGCCCCCTCTGTCCAGCTGATTGCACTCGTTTACTCATATTTCTAAGATGGTGTGAGAATGAGATGATGAGATGTACGTGAAATTACATTATTAGTTGTTATTGTTCATTTTCTATCGTCAGGTAGTTTATAGTGGTTATCACTATTGGTTAAATAGCTCAGCCATTTACTTGTGTGACCTGGCTGAGCTACTTAACCTCTCTGAGCATTGCTTTCCTCATTTGTAAATGGGGATAATGAGATCGACCTGTTGGGACTATTGTAAGGATTAAATGAGTATGTAAAGCAGTGATTCTCAACCTTGGCTGCACATTAGAATCACCTGGGAATCTTTTTTAAATCCTGATTTCTGGGCCTCATCCTCCGGAAATTCTGTTTCTTTGTTATGGGGTGGGGCCCCTCACCCCATAACAAAGAAACAGAATTTCCGGAGGATGAGGCCCAGAAATCAGGATTTTAAAAAGATTCCCAGGTGATTCTAATGTGCAGCCAAGGTTGAGAACCACTGTTGTAGGCTGTCAAGACAGTAGTGTTAGGGTCTCGGAAAGAGGTACTCATGAGGCCAAAAGGGGTAGAGAATTATAAATTTATTAGGTCATCTGGAAAACCTAAAATGGTGCCAGCACCCAGGGACAGGGAGCCAGTGATTTTAAAGGACTCTGGGCGAGCCCTGGCCGGTTTGGCTAAGTGGATAGAGCGTCAGCTAAGGGCATGTACCTCGGTTGGAGGCTCCTTCCTGGGCCTGGGCCCTTGTCAGAGCTCCTGCAGGAAGCAATCAATCAATGTGTTTCTCTCACATCAATGTTTCTCTCTGTCTTTCCCTCTCTCTCACACACTCTCTAAATCAGGGGTCCTCAAACTTTTTAAACAGGGGACCAGTTCACTGTCCCTCAGACCGTTGGAGGGCCGGACTATAGTTTAAAAAAAACTATGAACAAATTCCTATGCACACTGCACATATCTTATTTTGAAGTAAAAAAACAAATGTTTTCGGCGGGCCTCTACTGGTGTATTTGCATGTGGCCCACGGGCCGTAGTTTGAGGACCCCTGCTCTAAATCAATGGAATAATATCCTCGGGTGAGGATTAAAAAGAATAATAATTTAAAAAAAAAATAAAGGTCTCTAGGCAGGCTTTTTAGGCGGGGAATTCTCTGGGTGGTCCGGATCCTGGGCAAGTCCCAAAGGGAAAGTTATCGGCCTTGCCCTGGCAGGTTTGGCTCAGTGGTTAAAGTGTTGACCTTCGGACACACACCTGAGCGGGCAGCCGCTGTACGGGGCTTGTGCTTGTGATGTTGGCAATCCCAGGCTACCGGGTCAGATCCTATGGGTGAAGCCAGAAGCTGCATTCGTTACTGCTCAGGTTCCTTCAGGCCTCAGAGTCCATGCAGATGTCACTGCTTTACTACAGGCTGACGGCACCAATACAAAGCCGTTCACCATTTAAAACAAATTCTCCCAGAGAATTCCAGAGAAGGCAGAAGAGTGGGTGTGTGTATGAGTGTGTGTATGTGTGGGAGTGTGTGCATGTGTGTATCTGTTTGAGTGTTTGTATGTGTGTGAGTGTTTGTGTCTGTGTGAGTTTTAGGGAGACTAAAAGTAGGAGGAATAGAGAAAAAGCAAATCAAAATGTGGAGACACTACCCATCGAAATATAATTTAAAGTAAAATAAAGTAGCCAAACAAGTTAATGGGAAATATTCCCAGTTACATAAAAAAAAATAAAAATAAAAAAATAAAGTGTTGACCTTCGGACCAAAGGGTCATGGGTTTGATTCCCAGCCAAGGGCACAAACTTCAGTTGCAGGTTCCGTCTGGTCCAGGTGTGAACAGGAGGCAACCCATCAATGTGTCTCTCTCACATTGACTTCTCTCTCTCTTTCTCTTTCCCCTTCTCTTCTCACCCCCTCCACGCTCTCTAAAAAAATCAAGGGAAAAGATATGCTTGGGTGAGGATTAAAAAAAATAATAATAAATAATTTTTTTTAAAAAAAGAAAGTTACTGGTTTTAGCAAATGGAATGTGGTCTGAGTGAAAGGGAAAATCAGCTGCGAAATGATCTAAAGGTCAGTTTCCCAGGGGAGGGGCATCGATTCAGTTACTTGATCAGACCTAACAAGTAGATCCTTCCCATAGTGTGCTTGAGAGGAAGCTGGGTCTGTGGGCATTCAAAAGCATCCAACACGAGGACCTTCGCCAAACATTTCAAATCTCTGCATCATCCATTCGTCATCTGAGAGTGGTCTCTACTGGTGTCTTTTGCAGCTCAGAACTGTTCCTTCACAAGACATGGTTCTGTAACATCAGCATCACTTCAGTCTGATTCAGCCTTCTAATCACCATTATCCACACCCTTAGAATTTCTTCAAATATGTGAGTGGTCTTCCCCGAGAGGTAGGATTTGAGAAAGCTCCCTGTTGGCCACCGGAAGCCCGGCCTGCCCCGCGATAGTGGGCACCAAAAATATTTTCCTGGCCCCAGGCCTGTGGCTCTTGGGACTGTCCTTGGACAATTGCTGCAAGGTCCTTGAACTCAGTGCCTGTGTTTAGAAGGAGGTGCTACCCTCCCCACCTCAGGCACTTTTAGAGGCTGCCTCAGCCTCGCCGCATATCTGGAAGCTTCCACCGCCCTGCCCGTTCCCACTCTCTGCTGTTCTAGTCCTCGAGACACTCGTATATAGCCTAATGCTTTCTCCCCTGCCATTCCCCCCTTCGGCCTGGGTTCTTTCCATTCCAACCCCACGTTGGAGCACCCTCTGTTCCTTGTCCAGTTCATTCTTTGTCATCCCCCACTCACAGCGCTCTGTAGCTCAAGAGCTCAAGGCAAAAGCGGCACGTCCTCCCTTCCCCTGTCTAGTCACTCAACTCCCTTGAGCTATATATAGCACAGCTGTGCCTTAGATTGTGTGGCGCTCCAAGTCCTAGTCTCCCCTTTTCCTCCCCCAACAGAATAGGGAGCCTGAAGCTTACAGGCAGGGTGGGGAAGCCCAGCAAGAGGAGGCAGGGAGGAGCTGGAGAGGGACAGGAAAGGGTGTGCTGCATTGTGGACCATCCAGAACATGTGCCCTTCCCATCTGCTATCAGGGACTTGCCACTTCTCTCCCAGCCTGCTAGCCATTCCCTGCCACTTTCTCCTTCTAGAGAAGGAGGAGCAGGCAGTGTGCTGGGGAATTCTAACCATCATCTTATTTAACCCTTACGATGATCCTATGGGTACCCACTATGTCCATTTACAGATGATATAGACTCACAGAAATTGAGTGGCAGGAGACCAAGTATTTAGAGCAGGGGTCCTCAAACTTTTTAAACAGGGGGCCAGTTCACTGTCCCTCAGACCGTTGGAGGGCCGGACTATAGTTTAAAAAACACCCGGCGGGCCGGATAAATGTTTTCGGCGGGCCGCATGTGGCCCGCGGGCCGTAGTTTGAGGACCCCTGATTTAGAGGTTGGTTGGTCAAGCAGCTAACTGACCCCACATCTAACTCCGGCCTACACTCTGGATCCCCTAAGACTGTCAGCATCATTCATTTAAAGCCTTGTAAAATAGAATTTCTGTCGTTGTAACCTGATCTGGAAGGAAGAAGTTTACTAAGCAAATTACTAATGTAGAAATGCTGAAACCAAAATAATTATTAAAGACTTGGCATATTAACAAAAATGTTATCATAATTTTATCTTATCTGTGTACTAAAGCAGGATGCTCCAGAAATTTGTTCCTTAAAGATTTCTGTGTGTTCTCAGAAACTTTTGAAAATAAATTTTTTCTTCTATTTCAGGACTTCCCCTCCACTTTACAGTCATTCTCCTGTTAGTCCAGAGTAGTGAGATTTGATTTTAGGAATGGTGAGAAGTCTGGATCTTTTTCTCACTGTGATCTTGGGCAAGACATTTAACCCAAGCCTCAGTTTGTTCATCTGTGAAATGGGGAGAATAATAGTAATAGTACTTTCTTCATAGTTATTGTAAGGATTAAGTAAAACAATCTACTTAATGCCATTAGCACACTTTTTGGTTCCTAGGTGCTCAGTAAATCATAGCAACTATTATTTTCTCAGTTCTGGGCTGGGATGCTATGGAGCATCAAATATGATCTCAACAGGGAGAAGTTGAACTTCACTCTCTAGAGCAGTGGTTTTCAACCTGTGGGTCGCGACCCCTTTGGGGGTCGAACGACCCTTTCACAGGGGTTGCCTAAGACCATCGGAAAACACATATATAATTACATATTGTTTTTGTGATTAATCACTATGCTTTAATTATGTTCAATTTGTAACAATGAAATTGGGGGTCACCACAACATGAGGAACTGTATTAAAGGGTTGCGGCATTAGGAAGGTTGAGAACCACTGCTCTAGAGCTTAGTCCCTGTTCTCTAAAGGGCTAGGAGTTGATCTTGACTCTTGCCATCTCATCCAGACATTTCCGACCACCCTCCCCCACCTCTGGACAGGATCCTCCTCCTCTTGAGAATTCAGGCCACTGTTGGGATCAGGAAAGGCAGCATGGAAGAGTGTGTGAATGACTGGGAGGAGAGTTCCCATGGACGCTGGGGACATGGGAAGGCCCAGGGGAGTTGCTGTGACCCTGGGTCTCTTCCTAGAGCAGTGAGTGCTGGGGAGAGAGAGACATCAGCTGCTGGACAAATTTCCAGTGCAGAAAAGCCCCGTTAGGACAGACACATTGGGGCCGAGAGTAATCTAGGGAAGGAACAAAGGCATGAAGGGGGACTCTCCAGAGTGTAGCCCACATTTTCTCCATCTGCGTAGCCATAAGGTACTTTCCTTTTCCTAATCAAGGGTGGATGATCAATGAGCATTCCTAAGCTTCAGTATCAACCTGGTGAGGTTTTCAGCTTGGCCAGCCACTGGAAAGCAGAGTAACTGTCCAGGGATGCCCACTGGACAACAATAGTACACATTTTGGAGCCAGCCAGACCTGGGTTCAGATCTCAGCACTGCCATTTCCTAGCTGTGTTCCTTGGACAAGTCATTTAGCCTTGGGGAAGCTCAGTTCCCTGGTCTGTCAACAAACTGCTACTTACCATATAGTAGAGAGGTTTGAAACGTAAATACCTAGAACAGAGTAGGCACCAATGCTGGTAACTGTCATTTCTGTAACCCCCCAGGCAGTATAAAGAGCTCTGGAGATGTGAGGGAAGTCCCAGTTGCTTCAAACTCCTGAACAAATCTCCTTGGTCCAGAAAGCATCCTTGAAGATATTGAAACCAAGACCCGAGAGCCTGCCTCCCACAATTGGAGCATTAAATTTACATCTCACATTGTTCATAAGAATATTTGAGGCCGTATAACTCAAGGAAGAACCCAGGAGCTCTCCCCATCCTTGCCTCTCTATTTCCATCTCTGTTCTCCATATCAAGTCCATCTCTGATCCGGCCACTTATGTCCATGAGAACTAAAATATTTAACCTGGCTAAGGGCCCTTTTCCATTTGGTCTTTCATTACTCTCCAGTGCCTGGAGTCCATCCTGAAACTCAGCAGATGGGGGGTTAAGACCGATGCCCTGTCCTATCTCCTCCCCTCTCCATTCCTGACTTCAAAGTCTCCATAAAGCCCGCTGTTGCTTCCCTGACCCCGTAGTGGCAGCTTCATCATCGGCTCTTGGCCAGTTCAAAACAGACGCTGAGCCCTGGCCCCGGCTGCTCACAGTCCACGTCCAGGCCACCTCCTGCGGTAAGCACCAGCATGCTGAGGACCTACAGGGCCCAAGGTTGTTGCTCCTCGGGGAGAGGAGGGACAACTAGGTACAGAAGTTGCCTCAAGCAGGGAGTTTGTTTCATGATTAGACTTAGGAAGCAGCCCACAGGCAGAACCCCTGGTGTAAGGACCAGGACTCTGGGACTCCATCGAAGTTGTGATCAGAGCAGACATTTACAGGGGTTAGCAAGTAGAACAACAAGGTCACCGCCCAGGGACGGAGGCAGGGGGTTGGTATTTGCAATTGAACATGGCAAGAGATGGACCTGGAACAGCAGCTCAGGGACGAGCACTTGTTCCGTTAGTATTGTCGAACATGGCAAGAGATGGACCTGGAACAGGAGCAGCTCAGGGACGAGCACTTGTTCCGTTAGTATTGTCTGGAACGTATGCTCAAGTATTCACAAATCCAGGTCCAATTGTTTTAATCTCTGGCTCTGGTGGCTGGGTAACCATGGTGTAACTGTCTGGGATGGCTCTGGTTCCCTGGGGCCGGATCCTGCTCTGTGGATCCCTCAGGAGTAACTGTCACAAACTCAAGACCAGGGGAGGGGGGAGAGGGGGGTCCCAAGGCTCAAGGCCTTTTCGTCCCACCCTCATCTGTGGATTTTTCCAGCTGCTTTTCTTGGCCCAAGGATGATACCCACAGGGATGCAGATGGGGGAAGGGGAAGCAGAGAAAACGGTGCAGTCAGAACGAGCTAGGGAAGAGAGAAATTAGCTGGAGAAATGGCGCTAGTGGTCCAGCCATCTGAAACAGGACATCTTTTTAAGTAGTGGCTGTGTAGGGAATGGTGAGGAGGTCTCAGCAGGCAACTTTCTCCTTTCCACCCCAAACTGAGGAGCATTGGAGCCCTGATTGTGGGGTGCTTCCTTCTAGGACTGGGCTGAAGCCTAGGAACCCTGCTGCCAACATCTGGGGGCAGGATCATGTCCGCTAACAAAGGCTGGTGGGTGCCACCCGAAGGTGAAGACAGCGTGTCTGAGAAGTTCCTGAGGAAGACCAGGGAGTCTCCACTGGTGCCTATAGGTGAGTGGGGAAAGGAAGAGATGGGGGGCCTTCTCTTAAGTCCTTTCAAATGAAGCAGAGAACTCCAGTGGTCCTACCCACTGAACAATCAACAGCTAGAAGAGTGAACCAGTAGCAGAGGGGCCAGAAGATAAAGGGACACAGCCTTACAATGAAATGAGTCTGGATGGGGGGAGGTGGCGGCCAACCGAGTGCACGGGCTATAGGGAAACACCAATGTCAGGAGGGGAAGGAGCGGTTTGGGGTCCCCTAGGGCTTCCTTCCTCTAGGCCCTGGGAAAGTAGGAAAACAGCTGTAACAGATGTGGGAGCCAAGGTGGTTGGAGAAGGGTCTAATGGGGGTAGGGGAGTTGTATGTGGGGGAAGGGAGTCGTTGGAGGGGGGCAGCTACTTTGAAAATGCCATCCAGAGGAAAACTCAGCCGTCTAATAACCCTCCCACCCCCACCAGAGCAGCTGCTCATCCAGATGCCCAGTCTTCCTAGTGTCTCTCATCAAGAGTGATGTGCTTGGTAGATGAGGTCCAGGGGTCATGTTCTCTGACTACAGGCTTAGGAGGCTGCCTAGTGGTGGCGGCATACAGGATTTACCGGCTGAAGGCTCGTGGTTCCACCAAGATGTCCATACACCTGATTCATACCCGAGTGGCAGCGCAGGCCTGTGCTGTGGGTGCAATCATGCTAGGTGAGTGGCGTCACAGAACGAGAGCTGGGAGTTCTGACAGTTAAGGGACCATGAGCTCAGGCCCTATTCCCAATACAAGGCTCCATATCAAGTCCTTGGTGAAGCCCCCATACCGAGACGCTGTCAGGGTTCCTTTTCATCTCCTGTCCCAGGCCTGTGGGGACAATGTGGTCTGCTTCATGAGTTTGTCCAGAGGTGAGAAAAACCATGCACCCAAACAGAGGCTGAATTTCTCTTCCTCTTTGGGTCAAAAGGCAGACAGCTACTTCCTGGCTGTATGACAGTGGACAAATCCTTCTCTGATCCTTGGTTTCCCCATGTGTAACGTGATAACCACCTCTGGCCTGAATCACAGGTTGCCGTGAGGTTTCTTAGATAGAAATGCACTTGCAATGCTTTGCAAATTGTCAAAAGGGTTGTTTCCCAGGCTGTGTGGTCAGGTGCTTGTAGCAGCTGCTGAGCCCTAGGGCAGAAAGCTGGACTCTCAAGGGATGGGCTGGAGCCAGACCCCAGAGGCTCTGCAGTTGCTACTCTCTGGGACACCTGGGAATCAGAGGCTGGGTGAAGCTTTCGCTGCTAAGGGGTATTTTCTTTCTCCCTCACACAGGTGCTGTGTACACAATGTACAGAGACTATATCAAGAGAGCAACGCAGGATGTGGGGGAGAAGTAGGTTTCTACAGCCAAGGGCAGTCAGACCCTCTCACAGCAATCCCTGGTATGTTCCTAATAAAGGAATTTTGCAGAAAACTGACAGTCTCTTCTTCACCTGGGATAGAAGATGAAGGGATTGGCAGTGGCTGGTGGGGGAGCTTAGAGCAAAGGGTTGGAGATCAGAGTTGTGGCTCTGAACTTCAGGGCAACAGAAACTCTCAGCGGGGCAGAAAGAGAGGTGCAGTAGACCTCCGATCCCAGAAACCCAACAATTCCCAAGCCAACTCAGGCCCACCTGGAAGAGCATGGTAGACAGGACGCCAGGAATGGAGTGGGGGCATTAGTAGCCTCCATGCTCATGGGAACACTGGATTAAAAGGCTGCTTCCCTGCCTTGACCGGTTTGGCTCAATGGATAGAGCGTTGGGCCGTGGACTGAAAGGTCCCGGGTTCGATTCCGGTGGAGGGCATGTACCTTGGTTTCAGGCTCGATCCCCAGGCGGGTATGCAGGAGGCAGCTGATCGATGTTTCTCTCTCATCGATGTTTCTAACTCTCTATCCCTCTCCCTTCCTTTCTGTAAAAAAAGTCAATAAAAACATATTTTAAAAAAATAAATAAAAGGCTGCTTCCCTGGAGACCCAGGCAGGAAGAAGGCTGCAGCTGGAAGCAGAGGCAGTGAAGCCTCATGGGAGACGACATAGATTTAGAACCCAAGGGCCAGGACTGGACTGTGCTGGAGGAGAGGGGGTGGAGGGTTGAATGAAAGCAATAGAGAAAGGCAGAGGTTAGAATATTCTGTTCACTTATAAACCATGTCTAAGGTCAGACTTGTAAAGAAAATTCCGTGTAAATTCTGAGGACAGGGCCTCCTGGGGTTAAACACTTTCATGCCCTCCTCCTTCCCTGAGCCAGACTCCTCTCTGTTCCCTGGGAATAGAGCCAGGCACAGGCCACAGAAGGAACCAGGAGGCCGAATGGGCCTCCCTCACTGGGCTCTGGGTTGGAGGCTCTTGGGTTGTTCAAGACGGCCACAGCAGCTCCCAGACACTCTGACAACATGGAGTCCAAGTCACATGAGGTCCCAGCTTCCAGTCCAGGGTGCAGCCCACTGCAGGGAGCAGGAGCTGCTAGGAGTCCTGGCATTCACATGGGGTAATTGAGCACCACATCCTGCTTGGCGAGCTCCAGCAACATAGGATCATCGAAGAACTTGCTGATGCTCACGTCTTCACTCAGGCCCTGCAGAGGGTGGGGGCAAATGAAAGAATGAGTCCTGTGTGGTGTCTGCATGAGGTGGGGGCCATCGGAGACCTGTGGTTGAGTAGGAAGCTGGTGGTGGTGGGGGACGGACTGTTAGCCAGGCTGTTTCAGGAGCCCTGCCTTTAGGGCTTTGTCATTGGGGAGCAGGTCTGGCTGCCTGAGGCCTGTACACATTGCATCTCTATGTTGTACAGTAAATCGCTTAGTGTTTGGGAGATAGGTCCAAGAGTAAGAAATGAAGAGAGATAAAACTCCTGCTGAAACCCCTGGGGGTTGTGGGGTGGTGATAGGTCTGAGGGCACACACACCTTTCTACGACGGGTTTTGATCATGAATTCCCGGGCCAGGTGAGGAGCTGGCTGTGGCTCCAAGGGGCGGATGACAATGCTCTTATCCAGAGGATCCCCAGGAACAATCTGAAAGGCAAAGGGGTTTCAGGGGGTCCAGGCAGCCCTCTATCTGGGTCTGGAAGCAGGACTCTGAGGAGGTTGGAAAATCTCAGTCAGGACTTGGAAGGGAAACGGGTCCTAAGGGATTGGCCTTGTCCAGGTGGGAGGCCAGTCGGCCAGCCTGCACCGTTTTCTCACCTGCCAATGGTGAAAGACAGACAAGGAAAAGGCCTGCCCCTGGGTGTGAGTCCGCAGATCAGTCTCAAAGCCAAAGGAGTCGATAGCCGGGATGAAAGCTTTGATGGTGTAGAGGGGGGAGCCTGGAATGGGCGCATCCTGAGTCACGTGCCCCCTGAGACAGAACAACAAAGGCCGAGTCAAAAGCAGAGAAGCCATCTGCCCTCAAATACACCCCAAACCGGAACTACCATAAAAGAATAACTGTGAACGCCCTGCAGGAGACAGAGGGGCTGGGGTCTCAGTCTGACACTGTGGCGGCCCAAGCGGAGCAACCTCGGGGCCAGAGTGGGAACGCTGCTGCATAGGGTTTTACAGAACTTTCCCCAGGAGCTCTCTGAGGAGGGCTGCCCAGTAAGGAATCTCAAATCTTAATCTGCAGGAAAGCTGGGGATTTCCTCATTCCTCATTCCTACTCCTACTTCCTTCTGAAAGAAATCAGCTCATTAGGTTTCAGGAGTGGAGCGCGTGGGAGGCTGGTCCCTCCATGGTAGCCGAGTGACTTCCTGCTCTGCTGGTCCTCTGTGTCTCCCTAACGTGCGGGGCTGCTCACCTGCGCCTGGCCAGGACAGTATAAACAGCGGAGACACAATCTGCAGGGGCCTGGACCTCTACAAAGTAGTAAGGCTCCATCAGGCGAGGAGTGGCCTGCAACAGAGCAACAAGAAGGGGTTCCTCAGCTTGGGGAAGGCTGGGGACTTAATGCCCTGGGGTAGCAGAGCCCTCACTTACCATGAGGAAGGCAGAATAGACGACTCTCCTGGCCGTGGGGATGATTTGGCCCCCGCCCCGGTGCAGGGGCTCCTGGGCAACCACTGCATCTAGGATCTTAAACTTGACATTTCGAATCACTGAAAAGGAGATGGACAGCTGATTAAGGAGTGCGCACGGCCAGAGCAGCGAGGAGCCTCCTGTAGCTCTACAGCTATCTGCGGCCACAAAAGAAAAGGTACAAAATTGCCCTGCAGATGGGTATTCTGATAGGATACGCAAGGCCTGTAGCAAAGAGGTCAGCAGTCAAGCATACATTTATAGTGTTTGTTTCAGACATCATAAAGGTTCCCTAAAAGTTTACATGCTTCTTCTGCAGACATTTAATTATTTTTGGATAGAGAAGAAATTCTAGGAATTGCATATTTGTTCCCATTAAGTCCAATCCTGGTCTATAAACCACTCCAATCCCATCCTTTTGATACAGCTCCTCAAACTTATTTCTTCTCAGGAATGAGGAACGAATGTTAACTAGAAATGACTTCATTTCTAGGAGGTACTAAGTGGTAGCAAAGGAGAGGGAGGGAGAGAGGCAGGAAACAGGCGCAGGACATGGGATGGCCCTGCTGCGTGTCCTGCCAGGTCCCAAGGATAAGCCCAGCCCACCGCCTACACCCAGGAGCAAGGGCCCTAGAGGACTCAGGTGGGGGAGGCGGAGAAACTGGTAGACTTACACTCATCACAGAGGGGTCCCTCCCTGGTTCCCCACTGGAAACCTTGAACAATGCTGTCCTTCACTGAGCCAAGAAGAGCCTTGTCCACCTGCACAGAACATAAGGGTTCTTTAGTGGTGACCCTGGCAATAGCCAGAGTTTAGAGGGAGGAGAAGGCAGGTAGGCTGGTAAGAGGATCTTCTCTTGCACCAGAAGACACAAAATACTTCCAGGAGAAAAAGAACACTTTGTAGTTTCTTCCACTTGAGCTAACAGACCATCACAAGGCTCCCATCAGTTCTCCTGTACCTCAGAGGGCAGGGTATCATCCACCAGGATGTTGGGGCCGGTGGCATCAGGGCCAAAAGCCCAGATGGAACGGGCAGCCAGCAGATCCCAATCGTACTTGGTTTGGAAGAACTCTCCCAGCTTCTTCCTGGGGAAGGAGGAGACAACGGAGGGCTCAGCCAGCTCTTGTAAAATCCTGCCTCTCTGGAGACAGTCACCTCACCCCACCCACACTGCGCCCAGGACAACAGCAAAGTGGGAGAAAAAAATGACTTCCCAGAAGAGTGTGGGGTATTAGAGATCCAGCAGTAAGTTATGGTGCCCTGCCCTGTCTCCCTTTAGCCCTGGAATGAGAGCTGTGTTCTCGCCTGTTCCACGTGATCTGGACCACCTCATTCTCGATGTCTTCAGCAAGGCCCTTTTCAAGAGGCTCAGCAATCATGGTGATCTTGTTCCTAGTTAGAGAGGAAATGAGTAACGAGGTGGGTGAGCAGGACTAGCAGAAGGGTCACTTCTACGAAAAGGGTGAAAGGGTGACAAAGGAACAGATAAGGCAATGACATCAGTGAAAACCACAGGAGCAGAGTAGAGCCAAAGGAGCTTATCTTTTTTTTTCTCATTAGAATCTGCTACTCTCTCTCTCTCTCAAAATATATTTTTATTTATTTCAGAGAGGAAGGGAGAGGGAGAGACAGAAACATCAATGATGATAATCATTGATCGGCTGCCTCCTGCATGCCCCACACTGGGGATTGAGCCCACAACCCGGGCATGTGCCCTTGACCGGAATCGAACCCAGGACCCTTCAGTCCGCAGGCCGACGCTCTATCCACTGAGTCAAACCAGCTAGGGTGAATCTACCACTCTATGAAAGTAGGTTTGGGGCAACATTTACATAGAAAGGAGAAGTGACAATTGCAAGTCATCCTGGCATAGAAAGTCTTATGGCAAAGGACTTCATGGGATCATGTCCAAAGGCATAATGGATCAGAGGCCTGGGCTAAACTCAAGTATTCTAAGCACCCCTTTCCCCAGACTGCGGGGTCTCTATGTCCACAGAGTTGTGATTGTGGTGGAGCTGGTGGGAGAGGAGCGTGTCAGTCCAAGGACACTATGACCCCCAGCTTACTTCTTATTGGGTGTTTCAGCAAAGCACTTGAGAGAGGATGTTTCTACCACAGTCTCACAAAAGGTAACAACAGGGTCAGCCACCTGTTGGGAAACAAGATAAATTACTGGGCAAGGTCTCATTTTGTTGGAAGGATGACCTCCTGCCAAAGGGAATTCCGAGGGCCCCTTGACATTACCCCTGTGAGAACCCCGCCTCTTAATCAGCATCAGGGACAAATACAACAGCAGGCTAAAAGTCGCCATCACTAAGAAGCCTGCGGAAACTTAGTGTAGTGCAGTATCTATGTTCTGGAGTCAAAAGTACATGGGATCAAATCAGATCTGAATTATAGTCCCCCAAGGTATCCTTCACCATCCATTTAGCCGTCCCTCCACCATTCACTGAATCACCCCTGCAGGTCTGTCAGAGCTGGTACTAGAGACCTCCTGGGGAACACCCCTTCTGTTCTCAGCCTGGGACTTCTCCCTGAAGCTCCCACTGGCCCTGGCCTGTACCTGGGAAACCCAGCATCTTACAGAGCACCAGTCCTGGGCACATCAGTAGAAGAATCTAAGAGGGGTACTTGAGGGTACTCATTCCCACCACCCGAGGGCCTTGGAGAAAATGTGTCTCTCAACTGGGACACTGAGGCCATGAAAAGGCAATTTAACTGAGGGGTTGTGTCAGGCTTGACGATGAATCCAGGAGAGCCAGGCCCCACTCTCACCTTGAAACCATACACTC